AAATTACCATCCACATTCCGTTTCCGTCACTGATGGGTGATATTGTTGAGAAATACTATTGCATTTCTGTAGAGGATAATGGCAAAGTGACATTCCGTTAACCTCCGTTATAGTGGTACATTGGCGTTGTGCTTATCTCCATGAAGAATGTAGTCACAAAGGTGACCTGACCATATTAATTCATGAATCAGATGTCGTGTCAGGATGATTCACGAAGCCAGTTTCAAGTCGTCTCAGATGTACTTTCGTCAGACTCCGAATTTTTCTGCCTAATTATGTAGTTCAGCAAGCTGATATTAATTGGATCACCTACATAATGACTCTATGAGCTGTGATCAGGAAAAACCGAGCACTTCTAACACCAATAAGTGTTTTTTAGCTAGTTATTAAACTTATCAAAGTTTAATAACTAGCTGAAAACTTATCAAAACATGGAAAGTTACAATCTGAACCGCATAATTACCCTTCTTTTGTGCGTAAATTTTTCGATCTGCGATCAGATCAAACGACTTGTTCAAATCAATTTCAGAAGATAATCCGATCCCACGTCGCAAACGTTACAAACATCGTCAAAAACGTAACAAGCGCAGCAATTCAACGAGATTATTCTCGAAATCAACTTCATTAATAAATCATCTGTATAATGACTCAATGACGAGCAGCTCTGATCAAGAAAAACCGAGCACTTCTACCACTAATAAGTCGTGTCTCAATAAAGTACCACTTCACATCAATTATGTTCTACACTCAGATATATTTTTCACTTGAGTATTCCTGCCTATTTCATTGAAGTGCATCATATAATTAGCACAATTGAATTGCATCATAATACATTTAACAATGACTCAATAATTCAGTTGTCATTCTGTATTTTCTTTCCTCTAATTTCCACAGTAGTTCTGGACTGATCAGGATATGCGTAGAAAAAAGGATTGTGTTAGGTTTCTAGGCTTGATTTGATTTGATATCACTGAATTCTGTCGACTTATCTTCTGCTCTATTACAGAAATTGATCTCTACTGCCACCTCTCATAGTCGTCTGAGTGATTATTCAGAGGACGAAGCACTCGCAAGCAGTTCGTCAGTTGATAAGAATGATCTTCAGTTACCTCGCTATCATAACATGAATTTGCGTTCTGATAATTCAGTATCGCCACTAACTAAATGCACTCTTAATGCACCAAATTCTCAACGAACATTCGCATCAAGAGGTTTGTATTTATCTCGGTGACTCTTTTTCATTTGCCTTTTATTTTGAATTCAGCATGCATTAGAAGAGTTGATACGTTCTTAACGATGCATCCCATACAATTTATCTAAATGATAGACTGCACAATCGATTCAGTTAAGTCTAGGCGTTCTCAATGATAACCTGCCGAAAATCATTTGAAAATGTCTTGTTTCTTCACGGTGGCCATCATCCATTGCTTATATATGACCATCAACTTATCGATATGAAATGAACATTATTTTTCGATATATTTCTGCTATCGGTTGCTACCCGCTTAACTGTTGAAACAGCGCCATACAACTCATCATTGAGTGTTTAGTCTAAAATGTTGCATATTTGCCGAATGCCGACATCAGTGCGTGTTGAATGAGTGATTATGAGAATATCGTTGAAAACAACAATAAATATCAGCTCTAGGACCAACAGCGCGAAAGGTGCATCGTCGTGCAGCAACAGCGCGATTGGGTTCAGTTGTGGAACGATCTCAACTTATCAACCCATCAAATTGGTTTGTAGCATTTGAAAGTTTAGTTTAATGCTTTTATTGTATTTGCAACAATCGTAGTCGAATTGGTAAGTGAAATATTGTTTAATAATTATATTGAGTTGTAGTGATCGAAATGTGAGTTGCAAAGAGAGTGGTGTTAAAGTGAGGAGAGCGTTCTCATTTCGAGACTTGAATGGAACTATGATCGATTTCACACAACAGAATTCTGTCAAGAGGTATTATTCGTTGTATNNNNATCTCATTGGAAGTATCTTCGTTTCGTTGAGAGTATTTTGTATATTCTAATTGTGACAGCGTTCTGGTCCTATCTCGTCCATCTTCGAAGCTATCTTCCGATTGAAAAACGCAAAAATATTCGAATGATAAAATTCTTTTTGAAATCAACAAAAACATTCACTGATTTAAGTAAAGTGATCAATTATCGTTGATGATCTTCAGATGGACCTCTCAAGTTCTCGCAGAAATTGAATCACTCCCATCGAGCCGATTCGATCTGAATAATCTCGACTCTGCGTCAACAACAATCACCTATCAGTCTAATAAAAGCACTGATAATTCACTAACAATTCCAAAAAATAGTTGCCAATCAAGCGATCGCAAAAATATTGATGGTATAAGTAAATCGATGCAAAATATCAATAACGTCAATGAACAAATAACGGCATTCTGTAAAGTTGATAAGACTAGTCC